TATGTATATGTATATGTATATGTATATGTATATGTATATGTATATGTATATGTATATGTATATGTATATGTATATGTATATGTATATGTATATGTATATGTATATGTATATGTATATGTATATGTATATGTATATGTATATGTATAAGATGTATATGTGTATAATATGTATATGCGGAAGTAAAAATATATACCAGTATAGAACTTTTTGTTTTGTTATTAAAAACAAAAATGTACTTTAAATTAAATTTTTTTTGATTGTTTAGAAGAAGAAGAAAAAAGCTCGTCATAGCCTTCTTCAATATGTATTTTTATTTTTATATAAATAAAAGTATTTTTCTTTTCATGTTCTTTTTATTTATGGTCTTTTTAAAATCAAAAGTATACAACTACATATACGTGATTTTTTTTTGTTGTGCTTTTATTTTTGCAAATTTCTATTGTTGTTACTCGTGACTCGACTCTTGGTTAAAAAAATACTGGATAGATTCTGGCCGGCCTCCACACCTCCAGGAGAGACCAGAGACTGGTCTCTGCGACAAATGATTGAGTAAGTATGAGTTAATGGAGTATTTGCCATACTAACTCATATTTTATAGTATCTAATTGGTTCTAAATATAGTCGTACGACTGGCGTACGACAACACTATGTTTCAGATTTCAAAAGTTCAAGACTTCGAATTTCAAGCACCACAAGAGTACTTATATACATATACTACATATTTCAAACTATTTTGTTCTTTTCCCTCTCAAAGTGACATGTTAGATTCTATGAAACACATCTTGAAATATTCTCCTCTATGGCTATTTATAATGAGGAATCTTGAAATTGTCTACGCTAAACATATTGTTCTTTTCTCTATCTGTAAAAGTGGCGTATTCGATTCTATGAAACACGACCCGCTGGAATTTCGATGGAAGAAGTGTTTAGCAATGAAAACCCGATGAGACTTGCCAGAGGGTCATGTATGGAAGAAACGAGAATGATGAGCAATTGTGCGCGCGTTCAAAACAAAGTAAACCCCTCAACACTATATAAGAAATCAGCCGGTGTAGTCGATCACCACTCAAACGAGCTATTCAAAACTTGTCAATCAACAATGCAAATTCAATAGAATAATCCAACAATTTCAGTTATGAATATGCTGTTAAAAATCTTTGCCCTCGTAATGGTAGCTTGCTGCACCACTACACATGCTTGTGAAGATAAAAGTGCTCTTACACGCATTAACGATGAGTGGAAACTTGTCATTTGGGGTAAACAAATCACTGGCGACGACGCTGCCGAGCTAACCTATGCCGCAATCATCGATGCTGTCGGAGGTGGTGGAACATTCACTTACACCAAACTGAAAGATATACTCGGTGATCAGTAACAGGAGATCGGATTAGATATAGTTCTGGATATGATCACCACGGAAAAATCCAAGGACTTTAGCAGCTTCGGCGAAGAGGGAACGCTCAAAGGCGGTGTTGCCACACTGCACGGCTGCGGCGGCACTTGGTTTATATGCGGAGGGATCTTCAACCCACACAAATGCAAGGTTGGTAAGCACAATTACTACGTGCCGTACCTCGCCTGGCGACCCAGAACATCTGACGATGACACGAGTGACGACACGACTGTCAATGATGATTCCTTGCAGTACTTCCACGGAGGCTGTACACTGTCGGCGCCAATTCGTTCAAGTGAGTGCGTAGCAGCAGCTGCCAATGCTTGTACAAAACACTACCCTGGCACCTCGGGAATGATTCAAGAGGTGGGAGCCACCGACGTGATGGTCGTATGCTTCCAGGCGGTCACAGTACAAGATTTCGAAATCTCACAACTAACCGAAAAGCACGAAGGTTGTACGTCTGTGGTGGACGCCCAGAAAGATGTGTGTGTTGCCGCTCAGAGACGAATTTGTGACAAGAGCGCCGTTGCACAGCAATTAGGAGCCTCGGTTATAGGCACAGCCTGCTTTAACGCCGGCCTGGAAGAGAATGTGCTTCTCAGCGACTTAACCGCGCTACATGAGGAATGTAACAGTGTGGGAAGATCACAGGACTCATCCACCGCAACTGCGAAGAGAAAGGGTTCCAAGGCGGATTATCACAAGAGGTTGGAACTCAGGAATTCCTCGTGGCCTGCTTTGCCAATGAAGGTTCGCATGTCATGCAGGTCGACCGATCATAATTTGAGGCTACGTTTATAGCATGGGTAAATTGCATACCACAAAGGTATCATAAAACGTCCGCGAAAAAATGTTTCAGACGATATACGTTGAGCTCCTGAAGTTAATGACTTTATCATTTAGCTAATGGGTGATAAAAAACTGAATTATTATAAAAAAGGACAATCTCATACAACTTGAAACAGAAAATATTCTATATGTATATTGCATTTTCTATATTTAGAAACGACGACAATTATATATTTTCAACTGAAGGCTATGGCTGTATTAGTGCATTCTAACCTACATTTCCACAGGAATATAACTAAGTCGCACTGATGACAGGCACGCGCACACAAT